CATTATTAATATTATCACTATTATTACCATATTGATAACAATGATAATTATTGTATTGTTATCATTATCATTATCATTAACATTATTATTATTATTACTATCATTGTCATTATTATTAATATTATTATTGTTATTATTATCGTTATTATTATTATTATATCATTATCATTAATACTACTATTATCATTATCAATATTATTGCCATTGTTATCATAATCATCATCATTATTATTATTGTTATTATTATTATTATTATTATAATTTTTATTATTATTATTACTATTATTATTATTACTATTATTATTATTATTATTATTATCATTATTATTATTGTTATTATCATTATTATTATTATTATTATTATTATTATTATTATTATTATTATTATTATTATTGTTATTATTATTATTATTATTATTATTATTGTTATTATTATTATTATTATTATCATTATTATCATTGTTATTATTATTATTATTATCATTATTATTATCATTATTATTATTATTATTATTATTATCATTATTATTATTATTATTATTATTATTATTATTACTATTATTATTAGTATTAGTATTAGTATTAGTATCATGATTATGATTATTATTATCTTTTATCATTATCATTATTGTTATTATCATTATTATCATTCTGATAAATATTATTATTATTAATACTATTATTATTATTATGATCATTATTATCTTTTATTATTATCATTATATTTTTCACTGTTATTAATACCATTGATACTATTATCTTTATCATCATCATTATCATTATCATCATTATCATTATCATCATTTATCATTTAAGTAAGAAGAAGAACCATTGTAACTAATGGAATAAATTGTTTTCAGTTTGAGCTTAATTTGAACATTTTATATCATTATTGTCATCATATCATTATAAATAACAATAGTAGCTTATAAAATCAATAACTAATTCCTATATCTATATTGTTCCCTCCCTTTCTTTCTCTCTCTCTCTCTCTACCTATTTATCTATCCATCAATCTATCTCCCCTTTTCATGATCTCTAAAAATTCAATGTTTTCGTTAAAGTATGTACAATGTATATCTTCCGTCTTGAACGCTGCAACGAAACACTTAAACCTCTCTCTCTCTCTCTCTCTCTCTCTCTCTCTCTCTCTCTCTCTCTCTCTCTCTCTCTCTCTCTCTCTCTCTCTCTCTCTCTCTGTCTGCCTGCCTGTCTGTCTCTGTCTCTGTCTCTCTCTCTCTCTCATTCTCTCTTTTTCTCTCCCTCCCCTCTCTCTCTCTCCCCCCTCTCTCTCTCTCTCTCTCCCCTCTCTCTTTCTCCCCCCCCCCCCCCCTCTCTCTCCCCCTCCCCCTCTCTCTTTCTCTCCCTCTCTCTCCTCTTTCGTTATCTCCAAATACTCAGTGTTTTCGCTAAATCATGTAATTCACAAGACTTACAAACCGAAACAAAACAAACTGAAACATAATTGTATATGTACAGAATTATCTTTGCATAATGCTCTTTTCCTGGAAGCTTCATTCACCGAGATTCTCTTGACAGCAAAGGAATTCTTAATCAAACACTTGTGCAAATATAAACAGTCATTAAGGGTAGTCATTATAGATCTCTTCATTAAAGTTATTGAATAATGCACAGATTAATCTATAATCGATATTTCAAAGTCATAGAACGGATAATAGAAATTGCAAGCAGCGTCCATGTGCAATGAGTGAGAATTCTTGCAGATGTTGCAGTTAAGAAGTTGATAACAACAGCAAGCGTAAACTAGCTTATAAAATAAGGCTATCTCGTACAAACAACCATTACCAGGAGATGTTTGGACAAGGAGAGACCAAACAGGGAGAAACACACACACGCACACACTTATACAGAGAGAGAGAGAGAGAGAGAGAGAGAGAGAGAGAGAGAGAGAGAGAGAGAGAGAGAGAGAGAGAGAGAGAGAGAGAGAGAGAGAGAGAGAGAGGGAGAGAGAGAGAGAGAGAGAGAGAGAGAGAGAGAGAGAGAGAGAGAGAGAGAGAGAGAGAGGGGGGGGAGGAAGAGAGAGAGAGAGAGAGAGAGAGAGAGAGAGAGAGAGAGAGAGAGAGAGAGAGAGAGAGAGAGAGAGAGAGAGAGAGAGAGAGAGAGAGAGAGAGAGAGAGAGAGAGAGAGAGAGAGAGGGAGAGAGAGAGAGAGAGAGAGAGAGAGAGAGGGGAGAGAGAGAGAGAGAGAGAGAGAGAGAGAGAGAGAGAGAGAGAGAGAGAGAGAGAGAGAGAGAGAGAGAGAGAGAGAGAGAGAGAGAGGGAGAGAGAGAGAGAGAGAGAGAGAGAGAGAGAGAGAGAGAGAGAGAGAGAGAGAGAGAGAGAGAGGCAGAAAGAGAGAGATCAAACAGACGATGTAGCAAGCAGCCCACGCAAGGAAACCTGAAGCGAAGGGGAACTGAGACGAGACCGCCCACTCACAACTTGACAGAGAATGGCCTAGGGTGATGAAGACGCAGCAGAGTGGGCATTGCCAAGTAGTCCTCACTGAATAAATCCACAAAGAACGAAAACTATTATGTGAATGTGGGGCCATATGATCGGTCCTGAGAAAGATAAACTGCATGGTGAGCATACTATGACAAATCCAGAAGCTAACTAACGTAAACACACCAATAGAACGTTGTCACACGATTCAGATGTTTAAAGGAGGACTGTTCATCTTCAAGGAAACGATTGTATATATAAAATGACACACATAAGTCTCTATCCAATTACATATAAAAAATAACCAGGAACGCAGTGTAGGGAGAAAGAGTAAGAAAGACGAAATGAGCATTCAGGATTCAAAGCTCATGTCTAGAAATCAGTAATCAATGAAAATATTTTTTGGTGGGGAACTTGAGGCCGACTTATAAAGTGCTATCACCAAACTTACTAGGACAATTATTCCAGCGTCGACTAATAATCTGGATGCAATAACAACTAATTAAGACTAATTAAGTCCTCGAAAAGAAGGAACTGGAACCAAAGTGCTAAAGGATGAATGCGGAAGAATATGAAAGTGTTGATGATTAATGTCACTAATAATTTAGTCATCGGAAAACAGTGCTTCATGTTGTTGAATCAAATGCTCCACCTTTGTACCAAATATCGACATTGCATACAGGAGGAGTAGTGTTAACTATTTATATGTGATTGGGCATTAGTATTGTAAAGACAGATGTGAAAATGTCAGACGTCTCAGTGATAGGTAAGACTACGTAGATAGGAGATTGATTAAAACCAGTGGACCGGGGGATAGTGGAACTTTTAAGGCCGATGTAACATAACACATATATATTAGTAATGTCAGGAAATGGGAAACGAGAGCTAATATTTCACCGGCTGATGGAGAAACACAGGGAGCTTCAGCAATCATGGCTATGTATTCACTGGGGATGTCAGTTCATCAAACGAAACTCAGTTATGACGCCACCGACGTCTGGGAATCTGGCAACACTGCTGAGCGCGATGGAGCTAAATGAGGAAACGCCATAATCATATAACCACCCCGAGGATCATCAACGCCCTCCCTCAGAAACAAACAAACAAATAAAGAAACTACCTAACTAACTAACTAACTGAAGGTGTGTTAGAGGAAAACATAAAGGAAAGACAGTAATAAAAGTAACGGCTGGCCCAGGACATAGGACAGTGATACCCGCGGCGAGAGAAAGCCACAAGAAAATATATTCTTTCCAAATCTATCTTTCTCTCTTTCTCGTAAAAAAAGGGAAATGTGGTGTCTGTGAGAGAGATATTGATCGATTTGTCATCACGCCTAGGAGGGATGGGCGTCAAAAAGCCGGTGACGATACCCAATATTTTTCATGGATTTCACAGGTAACAGGATCACTAAACTAGATCATGGGTTTCGGTCCTAACATAGAGGAATCCAGTATCATCCAAAATTATCATCATTATCCTTATTGTTATTGATGCTGCTTATATCATCGACATTATGTGTGTATGTGTATGTGTGTGTTTGTGTGTATGTGTGTGTGTATGTGTGTGTGTGTGTGTGTGTGTGTGTGTGTGTGTGTGTATGTGTGTGTTTATGTGTATGTGTATGTGTGTGTGTTTGTGTATGTGTGTGTATGTGTATTTGTATGTGTGTGTGTGTGTTTGTGTATGTGTGTGTGTGTGTGTATGTGCGTGTGTGTGTGTGTATGTGTGTAATTTACGCCTGCAATTTACGCAGTCCCTTATACAACTCAATAAACATTAGATTCAGTTCACCTTATCTCGTGAAAAGGTAATCAGCACCACTGTTTTATCATGCAACGCGCCACGGTGTAGTGTGATGGGTAAAGGCTCTCTGGTGCAGTCGATTAAATCATAATTGGCAGGTGTGATATCAAATTATGTTTCACTAATTATTTGTCTGTTCGTTATTATTGTTTTTCTTGGTTAGTTGGATTTTTTTGTTTGTTTGTTCTGTTACTTGCTCGAAATTTTTGTGTTTTTTTCTCTCCCACATTCGTCGTTTTTTTCTCTCTCTTTCTTCTTAGTTTCTCTCTCTCTTTATTTATCAATTGCTTATTTAGTCTCTCTCTTTCTCTTTCTATCTTTCTGTGTCTGCTTGTCCTCACTCTCTTCCTTTCTCTTTCGCTTTCTTTCTCTCCCTTCCTTTTTCCCTGCCTTCATCCCTCCCTCCTTCTCTCTCCATCTCTCTCTCTCTCTCTCTCTCTCTCTCTCTCTCTCTCTCTCTCTCTCTCTCTCTCTCTCTCTCTCTCTCTCTCTCTCTCTCTCTCCGTCTCTCTCTCTCTCTCTCTCTCTCTCTCTCTCTCTCTCTCTCTCTCTCCGTCTCTCTCTCTCTCTCTCTCTCTCTCTCTCTCTCTCTCTCTCTCCAACCCTCCCTCCCTCTCCAACCTTTATAACCCTCCTTCCCTCCCTCCCTCCCCTCTCCAACCCTCTCTCTCTCTTACACACACAAACACACTCTCTCTCTCTCTTCCTCACTTCCCCACTCATCACCTCACCCGTTTCTCATTCCTAGCA